CCCCAAAACACCCACACACCCAACTCTTCCCTCCACTCGGAGAGACGGGCACGGAGACCGCCAGCCTCTCCCCTCCCCCCTCCTCGCTCTCCTTTTGCCCTCTCCTCCCACGCAGTCGCGCAAGCCCTTTCAGACGCCTCTGCGCGCCCACGACACTTTCGCTTTCAAAAAAACGGGCTTGGGGCTCCGCCAAAGCTCCGCCAAAAACAGTCTCCACCCCACAGCGCTGTAGTCCGGCGGCCTGCCTGGGCCCTCCTCCTTCCCACCGAGGGCTGCAGCTGTTCTCCGCTTGGATGAGAAGCTGAAGTGACCAACCCCTCCTCATCCTCTGAAAAGCGGGGAGGGGAGCGCGAGGAAGAGAGCAGGCACAGCAATGGCGATGCTCGGCGGTCCTTCCACCACCAGCCCTCCCCGGCCGAGGAGTTCAGCTGGCCAGCTCCCTCCTTCATGTTTAATACACAAGCAGAGGCTACCCTTCACCTAGAGCCAATATGCTGGGAACCTCAGCCTTTTCTCTCTAGTCTTGTTTCTCACCATGGCCTTTGGTGCAAGTAGATCCTTGTCACTTGCTGTATACTCTAATAGTGGGACATAGCAATTTACATGCCGTCCAGCTCCTCTCAGAAGTTTCCTCCACCCAGGCATTCTTTCCTTTTGTACAAGAGAGAAGAGAACACCCAGGAAAAGAAGAGAATAGGAAAGTAATGAATGGTAATAGAGATGCCACTAGGAAAGGGAAGGAAGAAATGGAATGCTGTCACAGATTATGGACTACAGTTACCATAATCCCTATTGGCCATTCTGGTTAAGAAGCATGGGAGTTACAGCTGAAGACATTTGAGAAACATTAGGCTACCAACCTTTATTTAAGGAGAAACAAAATTGAAAGTGCTTTAACTGAAGACTAAGAAATACTGAAGAGGAGAATGTATTTGAAAGAAAATGTGTTTTGTATTGCAGTTTTTCAGCGACAAGAGATAATAGGAAAGAATGGAACTTCCCTTCCAAAATCACCAGTTTCACTACTCTATGTCCTCAGTGTTCCTTTTTAAAGAAAGCCGCTAAGATTGATGGAAAGAAACCTCTTTCGATACTAATAGGCTCTATCTCTATGGTTAAAGCAAACTCCTCCTCCTTAGAAGGCAAGGAGAAAAGCTCTCCTCCTCTTGACTTGTGGCTTCTTTGCCTCACTGACTGCAGATATTTGTATACACAGAAGCACACATTTTCCTGGGCAGAGCATAGTTCAGAGCAGAAGACTGATGAAGCTGGTAAACAGCTGGCAGGGGAGGGAAGAGAACATTAGAATTTAGTTACAGTTTTTAATGAGAGGTTTGCTCTCTCTTGAAGAAGAAAGGAAGATAGTGTCAGCGTATAGGTTTGTTTCTATAGCAAAAGCCATAATTTCACCAGCACAGAAATAAATGTGCAAACAATGATACTTTATGCTACCAAGCATGGAGGAATGTGTGTGTGTTAAATCAACTGATAACAGCTGTGGGAGGAGTAGTCAATGTAGGGTCAGGATTCCAGTATGGAGAGGGTGACAAATGTGTGTTAAGTTCTAAGATGAGAAAAGCAGCTGTCTTAGCCCAGATATGTATGGTGTGAGGCCAACACATATACAGGATTCTTGAAGATATCAGGAATTCCAGCTTTATCTTTTTTTTTCTTCAATAATAAAGTTTGATCATTGTACAATTTGTCAAAATATGTAAGAAAATTCATACTGTGCATAAAAAATCAGTTCTCTCTGAACTTAAATATGCTTTCATAATTTCTTTCAAAAGAAAAAATAGTGTCTCGTGGTTCTTGTACTTACTCAGTTGTAAGTTGGGCAAAACGTGTATGAATATGAATATCTGTTCAATGGCCTGCAGCCATTCCCATAGTTCCCATAGTTCAGCTAAATCCCAAGGTGAGGAAGACATCCGAGGAAACTTCTCCAATTGGGCATTCTCAGATTGAGAAAGGTAGGCAGCCAGGGAGGCTTCAGCATGATTTTATTTTTTTATTTAAAATATTTATATTTTTAAAAATCTCAGTGACATAACAGGAAAGAACAAAATGAGCTTTCAGCAATGGCCTATATTAAAAAATGCCACCAAGATAAAGTTGAAAGAAAAGAAGCAGAAACCCCTTTTGCAGAAGAAGAACACTTTTGAGAAATGAAAGTAGATTTTGAGATTAATTTTGGCACAGCATTAATTGAAACTTTTAAAGTTTTTCCAATTTGTACAGCTATTGGCCAGAAACCCGAGAGAGACCTGGAACAAAACATTTCAAAGCCTAAGATATTTCAAGCTTTTAATGTCCTTTGAAATCTAAGTTTTCTAATAATAATTGGAGACTCATTAATAGTTGTTGATAATGCTGTTATCATCACTTGGTTTAAATTCTAGAGCAGTGCAAAATCTGACATGGAGAGGCCCTCTGTTGTAGATTGTGTTTTTATAAAGAATTATGGTAATCAAGCAGACATCAGAGTTTATTACATAAGGGCCTTTATTATGCAAATATATGCAAAATACTTCAGATGCTCTAATGTTGAACACTGAGATTTCTTATTTGTGTAATATTTTAAACCTTATCTATCTCTAAAGATTTCTTCTTTGTCTATCTTATTTCAACTCAATTCCTTTTAGGCACATTTAGTTTTTAACCTTGAAACTTTCTCTGTATTTAACAAGTTTTTGCTGCTGGAACACGAACTTCTTTACTTCATCTCTCTTGTTCCTCACTCTTTGATTCTTATTGATCTCAGTTATCACCTTCTTAACTGTCACAAAGATCTTAGACTTTATTACTTTTACTATATCTTGCATCTCTTTCTCCCCCCATAGTCACTTGCTCTGCTTCTTTCAACTTATTTCTTCAAGCATCTGGGTTTGAGTTTAGCTCTTACAACAGAATGCAGAAGTAATTCATCTCCTGTCCCTCAGCCTTCATCTTTCTCTTAAAAACATATGTGGGAACTTTCCTATAGATGAATGCAGGAATCACCCTTGCTGTAGTTCTGGCCCCTTGTGGATTACACACAGCTGTTTTATGGCTCCTCTTTTTTGGGGGGGCAGCATCTGTTACCATCCTTACTGGACTCTTCATGACAAAGCTCTCCTTCCAATCTCCTTATTCCCCAGGCCACCGTGTGCCTGGGACTCCTGAGACATTTGGTCTGCTGGATTGCTGATTACAGTTTCTCTGTTCCTATCTCACCTACAGATACCTACACCTCCAACAGCCCTGTCCTGCAGCTCAGCAGCTCATCCTCATTCACCTGAGATGTCTTCTGAGCCTTGAACTGATTACTTTCTATGGGCTTTGTGACTTTTTTGGGGTGGGTGGGTAATAATTTCATTACAGTTTACAAATACAAAGATAAAATACTGTTACTTCTGATCTCCTTTTTCTTTTTCTCAGCAGCGATCCCCAACTGTCTTTGTGATGCAGCAGCCCCTTCTCTAACCAGCAACCCCTCTACTCTACTAGGTCTCAGCTATCCCTATTTAATACTTCTCAGCGTTACCTCCCACTTCAAGAAAGATGCTTCTCAGTGTGCCACACATGCAGTCCTGGGAGACATTCACAAGTGACTGACAACTTTGATGAGAGGCAGGCAGGGACTGCCTCCTCATACCCTCAAAACAGCCACGCTGCCTCAGAGAGAATATGTTTTTTAAAAACCTACATCTGGGTTCCTCCTCCATATAAATCTCATATGAGTCTCACACACTGGGGGCCACAGTACAAAATCACATCCACATGAAAAATGAAATGCTTTCTTTTTGTCTATCTGCAGCTTTAAAAAAAGATTCAAGAACAATGTGGAATCCAGAGCAGAAGGCATGGCAAAGTATGGAATGAAAGATGAAAATATTGAGATACAAGAGCATATGATTTTGATATTTCTGACTCATTTCCTTTATAAAGGCCTATGTGCGGATTTAAGCTCCCACTGATAAGTGGAATATGCAGCCTTTAAAAAGCAAATAAATAGTCACAAAAAGACTGGACAGCTAGAATTATAAATGTTCTCATTGGGGGTATCACAGGCAGTATCTAGCAGATGACATTTCATGGCATTTGCAGTACAGAACATGTGACATTCCAGGAAACATATAATAACAACTTTGATAGATGGGGAAGAACTACAACATCCTAACAATCATCACTGGGAAAATA